TTTTTAATAAATATATTATACAATATGTTAAATCAAAATATATATTGATAAGTATCCCACCCTTACAGCTCTCAATTGTAAAACCCTAATATCATGCACTTATGATGCACACACTGCAAGCAAAAACATGCCTTGGATATCTAATTGTCTAAAATCTTGTAGTGTTTATATATAAATACTTATATACTAACTTTTCTAAATAGACAATGATTAATATATTTTTTAATTTAATATATTATATAATATATTTATTAAAAAATTATTATTTTTAAATGTTATTTAAAAACAAAAAATAAAGGCTATAAATTTAATAATTAGACCAATAAATATTATAAAATTTATTAAATTAAAAGACCTATCAATCATTTTTTTTCTAAATATATAATATTTGAAGCTGTATGATTGCTCGGCAAGCTTTTCCAAACATATATTATAGTCTCTGAAGCTCGCCTGTTTGCGTGGCTATCTTGTACTATTTTTGTGACAGTGATTGCTTTTGTTTGTGTTTTCACTTGGTTTAGTGTGTAAAATGAAATTTATATATGCGTTATTGTTTGTACTCTAATTACTTAAAAATATGTATTTTTATAATTAAAAAATATAAAATATAAAAAATAATTAAAAAAACTAAAATTATTTAAAATTAAAATTTTAAAAACTAAATTTCACATTTAACCTAACTAAAATCATGTGCCAAAAATTGTTAAAATGACGAGCAAGTAAAAAAGGACTTACAAGTCGAAGTAAAAAACAATCTAGTATTACCGGTAGCTAATGAAAACATCTAGCAGTACTACTATACATTTATTTTAAAACTTTAGGGACGGCCGCCCCTTGTCTTTAAGATTAAAATGATTCTGACAGATTTGACTCCTGCTTCCACTAATGGAGCTCCGCAGCACGGCACCAATTACTAGTTTTGACTTGTCTCATCAATAGCTAGCATTCCAGATCATGCCGACTTGCAAATGGCAAAATATTTAAATAGGTAAACCACTTATAATATGAATACTAACAATGGAAAACATCAGTTAATTCTTCATTAAACCCTTAATTTGAGTCCCTTAACTATTATACAGGGCTTTAATTTAGTTTTTAAACTAAATAAATTTATATTTTAATCCTTAAAATTTAAAAATTAAACTTTATTTTGATCATTCTATTAAATTTTTAATGAAGTAATATGTTTTTTTTTTTTTGAGGAAAATGAAGTAATATGTTAATTAAACGATGGAGCTGTATTTTTTCTTTTTATTAATTACATGAAAATTTCACTGTGTTAAAATTGATGACATGGACTAGATAACATGGATATACTCAAATGACAAGGAAACCAAATTAAAACTAATCTGGTTTGGATAATTAAACAGAAAACGTATGCTTCTCACAGCTCAACAATTATAAACTAATTTCTAAGATTGCATCTTCATAATCTAAAAATGAGGATTGAATCTCTCCATATCTAATTGTAAATCCGTTAAAAAAAACTAATGCAAAAAGACTTAAACATAATTAATTTAATAATTAATATAATTAAATTTATTACTTACAAAATTATTAAATTAATTAAACCAAAATGATAAAAAATAAAGAAAAAATCATTCCAGTTCAGTTCTTCATATATGAAGAACACAAGTGAATCTCCAGTTCTTAAAGCCATTCATGGCATCATAAACAAAGAAATTGAGACTGAAATCTAAATCTAAATCAAATTCCAATTTATCCCAACTTTATTTGAAAATTAAATTTAATCAACAAATTTAAATTCATATTTTCAAATCTAACTCAAGAAACCTAGATTCAATATATTCAAAATAATAATAATAATAATAATAATGAAATTCAACGTCTTACAAAGACGAATCGTTTCCATTTTACTCTGCGTCTTTGCACCAGGTGTTTCAATTGTAGCATCACCATTGAGTTAAACCATCGCCAGCAAAAAGGATGGTTTTAAGAGTGTTGTTTTGATGATGGGACAGGCGAAGAAGGTGAGGGCTTGGGGGTCAGAGAAGATCGTCTTAGCCTTGTTGATGTTGACAATGGTGGTTTCGAAAGCGTTGTGAGACTCAGGGAGGTTAAAGATGGAAGAGGTGTAGTTGGAAGCGCTGGTAGCAGACATCCTTGGACCGTTGCCGGAGCGAATAAAGGAAGGGAGTTTAAGGGAGGGGAAGGTGACGGAGAAGGAGAGGTTGAGGGCAAGGAGGGGTCTGGGGGTTGCGGAGACAGGTTGGAGACAGGTTGGAGACCTGGAGAATGATATTAATTTTCACTTGTGATGGTAGTTCTCGAGAACGATGAGAGAGAAAGAAACGGGTGAAGGGAAGAAGAAAAGTATACTTTAGTCTTTTGGGTTTTTTGGGTCATTAGTCTTTTAGCTTTTAACTTTTAAATTGATTTTTCTGTTAAATCCAAATCAACATTACTTTTGTCCACCGTATCAATTGCGACGGCAAAACCTATTTTTCATCTTATTTTAATAAATTTATAAATTTTAACTCATATTTTATATTATGATATTTTTAATTTTTTATCTTAATAAATTTATAAATTTTAACCTTTTATTTTATTTTATAATATTTTTAATCTCTTATTTATATAAATTAAAAATAATAACCCTTATTTAAAATCAGGTTATAACATTTTATTAGTT